GAGAAGGGGACGACAGAGGATGAGATGGTTGGATGGCATCACTGACTCAATGGACAGGAGTTTGGGTAAATTCCAGGAGTTGGTGATGGACAGGGAGTCCCGGCGTGCTGTGGTTCATGGGGTCACAAAGAGTCGGACATGACTGAGCAACTGAACTGAACTGATGATGGGCCTACGTATAATTTGAAAAAACCCTGATGCTGGGAAAGATTGAGGGCAGGAAGGGAAGGGGGCGACAGAGAATGAGATGGTTGGATAGCATCACCAACTTGATGGACATGAGTTTGAGCAAACTCCGGGAGATAGTGAAGGACAGGGAAGCCTGGCGTGCTGCAGTCCATGGAGTTACAAAGAGTTGGACACGACTGAACAACAAAAGGTATACTTGAAATTATCCTGCTTGAAATTGTTGAGCTTGAATCTGTAAGTTTATTTTGTTTTTTAACAAATTTAGGAAATACTGGCCATTATTTCTTCAAAAAATTTTTTTCTCTTCTCTCCTCAAACTTCAGTAGATTTATATTACATTATTGTCTTAGATTCTGTTTTTCTTTCATCTCGTTTCTCTTCATTCTTCAGATTGGATAGTTTGTATTAATTTTTAATTCACTAACTCTCCTACTGTCTCTAATGTGCTGTTAAGGCCATCCAGTGAATTTTAGTATTAGTTATTCTATTTTTCACATGCAGAATTCCCAATTAGTCCTTTTTTTTATCATTGCTATTTCTCTGCCTAAATTCCCCATCAGTTTATTAATTATGAGTATGTTTCCTTATAAGTTATTTACTATAGCTTTGTTAAAGTATTTGTTGTCATTTTGCCTCAGTACGAGTCAAATATTGATGCTGTTTAGCTTGTCTGATGACATTTTATTATACAGTAGACATTATGGATGACATATTAATAAGGACTCTGGATTCTGCTACATTCGTATGAAGAGTGTTAATTTTTGTTCCGGCAGCCAGTTTATTTGGCTGGACTGAAGCCTCAGTCTCCTTCTCCCCTGGAGTAGATAGTAGCTCAGATCTCTGAGCAGTTCTTTCAGCTTCCAGCTGCTGCCGTCCAGTGGCCTCACTGGGATCTCCCTGAACAAGCTGACTGAGGATTTGGACGGAGTTTAGGTTCAGAGTTTGAGGTCTGCTCCTTCTGCAGCTCCTTCCTTTCCAGGATTTCTCTCCTAACTTTCCATCTGCTCCACCAACCCCAGTTCTGTCCTTGATATCTCAGGTCAATAAGGCTGCAGCTCTCT